ACTAATTTTTTGTAAATCAATCAAAATTACACTTTTTTTTTTTGTCAGATCTGCAAAAAACATATTTTTTGGTGTGCCACAGAATTTTAGTAATTAGCTTATGTGTGCCAAGAGATGAACAAGGTTGAAAAAACACTGGATTAGACTGTCTGGGGGTGGATTCTGAGAATCTACATCTTAAAAAAGTAATTAATTAATTAAAAAAGTCTTTTTTTTTTTTTTTAAAGTATCGATATTATATATGTCCCTCTTCCACCCCCATTGACCTCTTCTAGCCCACCCCCCACCTCCACCCCAGGCTTTCATCACCATATTGTCTGTGTCTATGGGTTATGCATATAAGCATCCAAGTTCTTTGGTTGATCTCTTCTCACTCACCCATCCTCTCCCACCTTCCCTCTGAGGTTCGACAGTCTGTTACATGCTTCTATGTCTCTGGATCTATTTTGTTCATCAGTTTATTTTGTTCATTAGATTCCACATGTGAGTGAGATCATGTGATACTTATCTTTCTCTGACTGACTTATTTTGCTTAGTATAATACTTTCCAGGTCCATTTATGCTGTTGCAAACAGTAAGCGTTCTTTCTTTTTTACAGCTGCATAGTATTCCATTGTGTAAATGTACCACAGCTTTTTTATCCATTCATCTGCTGATGGGCACTTGGGATGTTTCCAAATCTTAGCTAGAATCTACATTTTTATTTTTTTATATATATATATATATATATTTTTTAGTATTTACTTTTTTTTAATTAATTTATTTATTTTACATATTTTATTGATTTTTTTTTGCCCCCCTCCTTCCCTCCCATGTATCCCCTCCCTCCCCAGAGTTTTATGTCCATTGGTTGTACTTATATGCATGTATACAAGTCCTTGGGTTGATTTATTGTCTCCCCCAGACCCTCCTCCCCTCCCCGTTGTAATTTGACAATCTGCTTGTTGCTTTACTGTCTCTATATCTATCTTTTGGTTCATCAGTTTATAATGATCTTTATTATCCACAAATGAGTGGGGTCATGTGGTGTTTCTCTTTCATTGATTGGCTTATTTCACTCAGCATGATGTTCTCCAATTCCATCCAGGTTGCTGCAAATGATGAGAATTCCTTCTTTTTTATGGCAGCATAGTATTCCATTGTGTAGATGTACCAAAGTTTTTGGATCCAATCATCAGCTGACGGGCACCTTGGCTGTTTCCAGATTCTGGCTATTGTAGATTGTGCTGCTATGAACATAGGGGTGCATATATCCTTTCTGATTGGTGTTTCTAGTTTCTTGGGATATATTCCTAGAAGGGGGATTACTGGGTCAAATGGGAGTTCCATTTTCAGTTTTTTGAGGAAACTCCACACTGTTCTCCACAGTGGTTGCACCAGTCTGCATTCCCACCAGCAGTGCACGAGGGTTCCTTTTTCTCCGCAACCTCGCCAACACTTGTCGTTTGTTGATTTGTTGATGTTGGCCATTCTGACAGGTGTGAGATGGTACCGCATTGTTGTTTTGATTTGCATCTCTCGGATAATTAGTGACTTTGAGCATGTTTTCATGTGCCTTTTGGCCTTCTTTCTGTCTTCTTTTGTAAATATTCTATTTAGGTCCATTGCCCATTTTTTAATTGGATCATTCATCTTCCTTTTATTTAGTTGTATCAGCTGTCTGTAGATGTTGGAGATTAAACCTTTATCCGTGGTATTATTTGCAAATATAGAATCTACATTTTTAAAATGTCCAGTTGATTTCTCATGCACATTATACTTAGAACTGAAAACAAGAGGATTTTTGACATAATATTGTGACTATGAGAGCAAACTGCTTCCAAGCACTTACCATTCTCATCAGGAGGAGCCAGCTGCAGAACTCCTAGAAATTCCCATTAATGTAGCTCGCTTTCTGGAGTTCTGGTGTCATTTCACCCCTTCGGAAGGAATTAAATTTTGCACCCAAACGTGAAAATTCTGTGTTGTAGTTGCTGCTCTTTTTTTAAAAAAAAAAAAGTGTGTATATATATATATATATATATATATATATATATATATATATATATATATATTTTTATTTTGTTGAGGAAGGGAAAGGGAGAGAGAGATAGAAACATCAATGATGAAAGAGAATTACTGATCAAGCTGCCAACTTCATGTCCCCCACTGGGGGTCAAGCCCGGAACCTGGACATGGGCCCTAATCTAGAATCGAACCCTGACCTCCTGGTTTATAGGTTGATGCTCAACTGCTGAGCCACACCGGCCAGCCTTTAGTAGCTGCTGTTCTTTAAATAGCACCCCTAAACACTTTGGGGGCAAGATTCCTATGTACCTATCCTATCAGTGTGAGAAATAGGAGTTCCCTACTCAGTAGCATAGGCAAGAAAATAGCAACTTTCTCTAAGGTCCTTCTGGAGTGGCCAGATTTCAACCATTGGTCTGGGAGCCTGGCTGGGGATGGGATGGGCCCGGATTCCTGTCCTAGGCAGATTACTACAGACCTGACTGGAACTGCAGAGGAAGTTCCTGTTAACAGATGGAAAGGGCGTTTGCCAGAGGCCCCAGCTTTCCTGTGGGGTGCCTGAGCTGATACAAACCCTTGCTGCTTGGGCTGGTGGGGTTTAGCCAAGTTTCTTTTTGTTGAGTCTTGTTTCCACCCCCAACTCCTCTTCAGTCCTCCAGATGCTGGTTTATTTGCACACTCCATGCTGATCTTGGGTTGAAAGCCTCTCATTGTTTTTGAACTCAGTGTTTAGATAACACCACATGCCTGTAGGAGCAAGGGCACCCTGTAAAGGAAATGCCTGGGCTCTAACAGCCCCGTCATTATTCTCTGTGTGTGAGTGACTGTGGCCTGTGTTTAGGACCATTATAAGAACATTTTTCTGCAGAGGTTATTAGTTGGGGCCTGTAGGGATACCAGGCTTCTTGATGTTTTAGTTCTAGGGACTGTTCTAAATCTCTTTTTTCTGCCATTCTAATCATAAAAATTAGAGTCTGTTTGCCCAAGACTTGTTTCTACAAATAGCTGGAGTACCAGAGTAATCTTGTCTCTGGTGAAAAGTCTGCTTTGGGGACACGGGACTGACTGGCTAGTTGTGGTGTAGACTGTGTTTTTATGACCAGGCAAGGTTGGCAGCTGCCTTTGTACTGATTTCAGAGGCTGTTTCCCCATGGGATATCTCTTTCTTATTCCCTTAATTCCCCCCATCAACTTTTCTTACCAAAAAGAAAGGAAAAGAAAATGTGTTCTCTTTCAATATTAAATCTCTTCTGGTTGTATTTTTTTTTAGACTTTTGATAGGAAATAGTTTTAATCCCTAATTAATTGCTTTTTAAATGACTTGACAATTAGTTTTTCCAGTTCTTAGTGTGAATTCCCAAAAGAGAATCCAGTTATAGATGTGGAAAAGGGAAACAAGTCATCTTGTTCTTCTAGTTGTTGTAACTGCTTGCTCTCCGTTTAATTAAAATTTTTTCTTTAATATTTACTCTTGAGTCATGCCATATGAAATATAAAAGTTTTTTGTGAACAGATTAAAATTGAAAAATAAAGACAAGTAATATAGTGATTTTTTAAATAAATTCAGAATTAACTATAGCCCTGGCCAATTGCTTGGTGGTTAGAGCATTGGCCCATGGACCAAAGGGTCTTGAGTTTAACCCGGTTAAGGGCACGTACCTTGGTTGCATGTTCAATCCCCAGCCCGGTTGGCAGGAGGCAACCAATTGATGTGTCTCTCTCACGTCGATGTTTCTCTCTCCCTCCCTCCCTCCCTTCCTCCCTCTCTCTCTCCCTTCCTCCTTCTTTTCCTCACTCCCTCCTTCCCTCCCTCCCTTCCCTCATCCTCTCTTTCTTCCAAAAAATCAATGGGAAAAATATCCTCAGATGAGGATTAAAAAAAAAAAATGTTTTTGAGAAATTAACTATAAAGTGCCCGGCCGCTGTGGGTCAATGGTTGAGCATCAAGCTATGAACCATGAGGTCATGGTTCAATTCCCATTCAGGGCACATGCCTTGGTTGCATGTTCAAACCCCAACCCGGTTGGCAGGAGGCAACCAATTGATGTCTCTCTCTCTTTTTCTCTCTCTCTCTCCCTCTCTCTTTCTCTCTCTCTCTCTTCCCTCTCTCCCCCCCCCCTTCTCCCTTCTACTCTGAAGTCAATAAAATTTTTAAAAAAATAATCTATACTAATAAAAGGGTAATATGCTAATTAGACTGGGAGACCTTCCAGACGTCAATCCAGACAAAGGAAGGTGGTGGGGCTGAGGCAGAGGCAGAGGCTGTTAGAGGTGATCAGGCTAGGAGAGAAGGGCAGTTGGGGGTGATCAGGCCGACAGTGAGGGCAGTGGGGGCCAGTTGAGGGTGAGCAGGCAGGTGGAGGGGGGGAGCAGTTGGGGGTGATCAGGCAGGCAGGCAGGTGAGCAGTTAGGAGCCAGCTGTCCCAGATTGGAGAGGGTGCAGGCTGGGCTGAGGGACACCTCCCCCCCATGCATGAATTTCATGCACCGGGCCAGTAGTAAAGTAGAATTAACTGTAAAGTATCTGTTACTCTTTCTAATGTTTCTTATGTCTCTAATAAATATTATAAATATATCCCTTAAATACCATCTATGATTAACAAATTATCATGGGCATGACTCATCTCCTTGCATCTTGACGGAATATGTGTTTGATTCTCTAGTTAGCTCAGGTAAATGAAATGGCAAATCATTTTAATTTGTCTCTTTTTTCAAGATGCTTGTGTTATCCTTGAAAGTAAATTTAGTGGTAATTCACCTTTTGGAGGTTGAAAAGGGGAACTAGTAGAGTAAATAACTTGCTTTAGTGTAATCAAGGAGCCTCTCCTATCCTTGTTATTACCTTCAAGCTTTCTGCAGAGAAATACCTGAAATTGAGATTACAGGCTTGACTGGAACCTGGGCACATTTTGGGGAGAAATAAATGCAGTGTGTCTTGCAGACTCTTGCCCAGGCTGTCTTAATGCCCTTATCCTGTGCTTTCTGCCTTCTAGTTCTCTCCTACGCTATGGTGGCAACCTGTCCCTTCAAAGTGCCATGAGTGTGCGATTCAATAGCAACGGGACTCAGCTCCTGGCCCTGAGGCGTCGCCTGCCCCCTGTGCTGTATGACATCCACTCCCGCCTGCCTGTGTTCCAGTTTGACAATCAGGGTTACTTCAACTCTTGTACCATGAAAAGCTGCTGTTTTGCAGGAGATCGTGATCAGGTAAGTGCTTTCTGCATCCCACCCACCCATCCCTTTTTTTTTTTTTTTTTTTTTAATTAATCTTACCAAGGGTATTTTCCCACTATTTTTTAGAGAGAGTGGAAGGGAGAGAGACACAGAGAGAGAAGCATTGATGTGAGACACATCCATCGACTGTCTCCTGCACATATCCCAGCAGTATCGAGCCTGCAACCAGGCACATGCCCCCCCAAATGGAATTGAACCCAGAACCCTTTTATCTGAGCCAAACCAGCGTGGGCCCCACACTCTTGCTTTCTTTAGATTGCTGTTCCTGTACTGTCTTTATTTCTCTTTAACATAATGCCAGATAGGAACAATTGAGGGAAAAGAGTAAGTGTCTGGGGATGTTCTGGTTCACTAATGAGTTTCTTTATCAGGGCAGCCATTGAGTAATGTGAGGCACACACCATAAACCGAGGCTGGCTACAATATGGTTCTGAGCAATCTAGCTCTGCCAAGTTTGTGAACAGATTTTAAGATTCTAAACTGTATCATTTCAAAAGAAAGGAGAAAGTTTATGGAAAATTAGCTTGCCAAAAAAAGAAATGTATCAATAAACTACAATGATGAATGAAACACTCTAAGTACCATCCAAGAGACATATATCCTGAATGGCCCCTTGGGACAGCATCTTTTTTCTTGGATAAAATGGGCTGAGCAACTTATTTGAGAGGAAGCCAGATGCTGACTCTTTCTTTTTATTGCCAACATCACAACTGAGGAGAACCCAAGCTGTGAATCTCCAGCCTTTTCACAGTATCAAGTCATTGATACTGACTTAGAGCTGGCAGTTCAAAAATATTCATTCTTGACTGTCTGTCTTGGCCATAGAAGTTCTGAAGTGGTTGGTGTCAGTGAATGGACCTATTGGACTGGTCTGAGTAATCAAGATGAAAAAAGACAAATATAAAGAAAGATTGATCAGATAAACAAATGGACTTTTTTTCTTCTCAAACAAATCTTATTACTACTTCACATTTAGATTGGAAACAGAAACCTCATTCTCCTGCTAATGTTTAGTGTTCTCTTTGGATCAAGTTTTTTTTTTTTTTTTTTTTTTTTTAATATATTTTATTGATTTTTCGCAGAGAGAAAGAGAGAGGGATAGAGAGTTAGAAACATCGATGAGAGAGAATCATTGATCAGCTGCCTCCTGCACCCCCCCCACTGGGGATGTGCCCGCAACCAAGGTACATGCCCTTGCCCGGAATCGAACCCGGGACTTTTCAGTCCGCAGGCCTACGCTCTATCCACTGAGCCAAACCGGTCCCGGCTGGATCAAGTTTTGACATGTAATTTGCATGCCATACTCCATCTCTTTAAAGTTATTTGCGGACCTCAGGCATAAAAGAAACAATTCTTTGAGAACCTTTGAAATTTCTGCATTTTGAAGGCAGGTAGCTAGGACTTTTCTTCTTAGATTGAGGTTGTTAGAGAATCCCCAATGTCATAGTTTAAGGATTAGTATATGTAGTAGGAGCATAATATATGCTTGTTGAATTGGGTTGAATGTGAAAGAAGTTGGGAATACCTCTTAAGTTGTCTGGGCTAGGAATTTCCTCTTTTGTAAATAGAGAATATATACCCAAATTCAGAATTTATATTCAAGTCTGAGTCCTGGGGCCTATTTAGCTGTGATCCACACTTGAAACCACTAGGTGGCCTCAGTTATATAAGCATTGTCTCCTTGGAGAGGCCACAATGCTAATGACTGTTTTTATTGGCAGTTTGTTTCTTGGGTGGGAAGAAACTAACTGCCAATAAACAGTCTAGAAATGAACAGTCTCAGAATAGAACAGACCATTGTAATTGTCTGCTCTGCAGATTGATTGATCTAGTTTCATTTAGCTGTGGAAGTAATAACCAAGCATCTCCTTCTCTCTTCCTGTCCTCCTTTCCTTCTTCCTTGCTTTTATTGATTATCCATCTTCTGTCAGTATGTATGAGATCCTGTTTCATTTAATAACAAAGAGTAAGCACTATATGTGATGGTTTATAGGCTTTTTGCCAGAAACAAGGGACTGAGGGAAAGGTGAAAGAGAATGGATTTTGTGTTTCCTTTCAATTTCTATATTAGTAATGAGTCATGGAGTCCTTAAAAGACTCAGAATAAAGGCTTCTAATCAATATGTAGAACACCATGGTTTCTTAACCTTGGCATTATCAACATTTTGGTCAGTTAATTCTTTGTTGTGCAGGGTTATCCTGTGCATCATACGATAGTAGCATCCTGTCCTCTTCAAACAAAAAATGTTTTCAGACATTGCCAAATGTCTTTTGGGAAAGGTAAAAGGAGGGGGCAGATTGCCCCTGTTTGATAACCTGTGGCCTAGATTATAATTACCCGGTTTCCCCAGATACCCTGGGACAGGTATTGCCACATGGAAAGCCACACAAGGTATTTTGTGATGGTTCTGGTTATATACATTGACAGGGTGTAGTTGTTTTGCCTTTCAGATTATATACGATGATAAAAACATTGAATGACTTTTGATTTTCCCTATTCAAATTTGATTGACTTGTTATTTGTGACTTTTGTCCTATGGAAAGATTTTATGGGTACTATATAGCCTCTCTGACAAACCAGATAGCTTTTTGATTAGGGTAAGTGGTTTTTCTATGGATAAAGGAGGATGAAAAGTCATTGAATCTAACTTTGGGTGAATTTTAAAGTCTGTTTATAGTCCCTGTATATATTATCAAAAGTATATAACCTGCCCTAGCCGGTTTGGCTCAGTGGCTAGAGCATCTCCCGCAGACTAAAGGGTCCCAGGTTCGATTCTGGTCAAGAACCTGTAGTTCCGTTGCAGTCTCAATCCCCAGCTAGGGTCTGGGTATGTGTGGGAGACAACTAATTGATGTATTCACACATTCATGTTTCTATCTCTCCCTCTCCCTTCCACTCTCTCTAAAAATCAATGGAAAAACATATTCAGATGAGGACTAACAAAATATATAACCTAGGGTATAGGAAATAGAGATTTATGTTTACTTATGTTGTCCACTCCTTGGGGACTAAGAAATGTAGCTATTCATCATTATCTTGTGTTCATTGCCTGTCACACTGCAAGGGCATAATAAATATATTTGTTGAGGTGAGTCTTGAGTACAATGTGTGTGAGGTTTTTAGCTTTCTGGGCCTATTTTTCTGCTCAACTTCTTAGAGCTTTAGGAAGGTGAATTAAATCATGGATTTTTAATGAAACTAATCTGAGTTTATATTTTTTAAGTGTGGCACAGAAGGCCAAACTTCCTGTCTTACTCTTGGAATAAATCTCTCAAAGGTGATTTATAGGCTCTGACTTTGCACACTCAAGGCTAAAACAGCAGCTGCCATAGTTACAGTATGATCTGTAGGACTAACATGTGCAGTCCTTGACTAGTCTAGACAGGATCTTTTTTGCTGCTTTCACATTCCAAAGACTACCCTTTGCTTACAGTGGTCTTTACATTTGATCTGTTCTTGTATAATGTAAGAATGTGCACAGCCTGAGGCTCTGTGCTCTGGAACTCTTTATGTAGTCATAGCTGGATAACTATCGCAGAGAGAAATCTGAAAATTTCCATAATAGGAATGAACATGGTAAGAAAGGCACTAAGTGACCTATCTATCTGAAATAGTCTTTTGGCTTTCAATTACAGTGAGACCAGTCAGTTCACACAAATAGACCCAGATATACTGCCAGAGAGCATGCACTTCATTTTAGACTGTCTTAGGTTCACAAAAATATTCATTAGTATTAAAAAGAAAGGAAAATTTCAACAAATTATATTCAGGGAATAAAGTATGAAATAAGCTGAGTCAACTCTGTGTCTCCCCCTACTCATTACACAATTGTATATGAATTCTATTATATAACTGTTAGAGATCGTTTTGTATAAACCTTCCTTTTCCAGGGAGAAAACTGCAGCTCAGAGAGGTGGTACAGCTTACACAAATTAAGATATAAGTTTGTAGCTGAGCCAGGACTAGAACCCAGACTTTTGATACCCCTTTTCATTAGATACCCCTTTCATTAGATACCCCTTTGCACTATACAGTCACACGTAATGCCGGCTATAGCAAGGCAAGTGGCAAAAATGAGTGGATTGGTTTAGATGTACCATAGGGAGCGGTGGGGACTGTGGCCAACAGGAGAGACCACCCCATCTAAATCTACAAACTCCCATTTGAATCTTTGACTCAAGTTTTAGCCCATGGTTGCCAGGAGGGCCTCTGGGTGTGTTGTGTTTGTTTTTTTAAGGGATGCCAGAAGTAAAGATTTATATGTGAAATCTTCTGATTTTAAGAATTGCAACAAATTCATACTTTATTGTATGGATAAAACAAATTTGTGCACCGTACCTATTTTTCTCAAGAACCACCAGTTTGAAACTTCTGTGCTTGAGCAGAATGTTTTACTCTCATGTTTAGTTTCATGGTCTGTTACTAATTCATAGGTGAGTGGAGACATGTTCCTTTTTTTAATGTCTTTTACTAAACCCTTCCCAACTACATGCTTCCTCCACCCCGTCTTTTAAAATAAGAAAGCAGATATTTACTGAGCATCTGCTCTGTTCCAGATGCTATGATAGACACATTCACATGACTACCAGGCAGTAACTTGTTTGAGATTTTCATTTAAAACCCTATACACAGGGCTGGACAAAAGTAGGTTTATAGTTGTATGTGAAACACAGTTTATTCTTGTATTATTTCCCATTTGAACAACAGTAAACCTACTTTTGTCCTACTTGATATAAATATATTTCTCTCTTTTCCATGTTCAGCCCAGCTAGAGAGTGGGTCCAGTTTCTGAGTAGAGGAGCTGGGGATTGAGCAATAAAAGAAAGGAAGAGACTAAACACAAAAACAGAAGGAAAAAGCTGGAAACCCGGTGCAGCCCTCTTCTACTGGAGAGACAGTGACCCATATCTGATGCAGTGTGTTTATTTTATACCCCACATACCAGGAAGTTTCACCAAAAGTCAAGACAAAG